GTTTAGTACTTTCTGAGTGTTCATGTAGAGATGGTTTTGTGGCTGCATAAGTTCTTAGGGATTGGATATCTGGGAAAGATTTTAATTCTCCCTCACTGATGAAGCTTAGCTTGGCTGGGTAGGTTATTCTTGGTTGAAATTGTTTATCCTTTAGGACTTTGAAGATAGGGCTCCAAGCTCTCCTAGCCTGCAGGGTTTCTGCAGATAAATCTGCTGCTATTCTGATTGGTCTTCCATGGTGGGTGATCTGGCCTTTTTCTCTTGCTGCCTTTAGGATTTTTTCTTTTGTGCCTACTTTATTTAGGCGAATTATTATGTGTCTAGGAGTTGGTCTTCTCATTTGTTGTCTTGCGGGGGTTCTCTGAATCTCTTGTGTTTGAATTTTTGTATCACTGATTAGATAAGGGAAATTTTCTTGAATGATCTCGTGGAAAGTTTGTTCCAATGTGGTCTCTGTTTCTCTTTCTGCCTCAGGGAGTCCGATTATTCTTAGGTTAGGCCTCTTGAGGTAGTCACTCATCTCTTGAAGGTTTTGTTCTGTCTTTTTTAGCTTATTTTCTGTGTTTTTAAGAGTTTGGGTTATTTCTATATTTTGGTCCTCAAGCTCTGAGATTCTTTCTTCTGCTTGGGTAATTCTGCTTTCCATGCTTATCAATTTGTTATTTATTTCATTCACAGTATTCTTTATTACTGTTATCTCAGATATCAGCTCCTTCCTAGTTTCTTCTTGTGTCTCCTCAGTTCTTTTTAATCTCTCCATTATTGTTTTGATATCTACATTTGCATTTTGAGACCCTTCATTCTGGGGACTTTTCATTGTTTGTATTCCAAAGTCAATTTTCTCAGTGTCTGCTCTCCCAGGCGTCTGGGAGAGACCCATACTCTTCTTTTGGTTTTTCTTCATTTCTGTAGATTTTTCTCCCTTTACCTCTTTCCCTCCCCCTCTTCAATTCTATTTTTGAGGGAAGGTGGGGTTGCTTTTATTTCTCTTCTGCAATGACCTGTTCTTCCTTATGAGGGTCTTCTGGTTTTGTTCACTTTTCCCTCTGCTTTACAGTCTGTCTATTCAGCAGTTTGCAGTCTTGGTCCGTTCAGAGAATCTCACCAGTTCACCTATGCCGTTGCCATCTTGCCGAATTTATGGTTTTTAAGGTGTAGCTGTCTGTTAGGCGCATCAGGCGCGTCCAAGCCCTGGGAGCACTCCTCTTCCCAACATGAATGGAACTTGCAGGACTGGAGGTTGCTCTGGGTGAGTCAGTTAGCGAGTAAGCAAATGTCAAGGCCTAGGACATTACTGGACACTACTGTAGACTTTGCAACCACTGAGAACAAAAGTTCTCTAAAATGAAATTTGGAGGAAAGAGACTGTTCCAGTAAACTGGGGCGATGCTGCCCTAGGAGTAAAAGGACAACGTTCCCCATTTTGAATTTTTTAAGTCATTTTAATAAATTTCCTTTTCATTGCGATCTGTTCCTGGAGAATTATTGTGTTCCTTTGTGGGTGTCTTTGCTTTTTAAATGTTTCTTGTGTTCTTATGCTGATATTTGTACATCTGCTGTTGCAGTCACTTCTTCCAATTTTATGGATTAACTTTTGAAACTTTTTTCTCTAGGTGTATCTACAGTGTTGGCTGGATAAGGATGCTTTGACTTTGATTCTTTGTGGGGTGCAGTATTGTGGTGTCTGTATTGTTTCTTTGGCTGTAATCAGGGTAATATCAGTGGTATTCGTGAGTTCCTCAGTGGCTTAGGCTGTGGTTGTTAGTGGAGGTTGTGGAAAGGCGTTGCTGGAGTTGGGATCCCCAGGCAGGTTAGTCTTCAGGTACCAGTGGCAGTGGCAGCGAACAGGGTGGGCCTGTCTTCTGGCCCCCAATAGTGTGCCGGCTGCAGTGGGCAGAGCAGGTCGATCCCTGAACCCCAGACAGCATGCTTGAGGTGCAGGTGTTGGTAACAATGGGCAGGGAACCACCTTAGGCCCTTAGATGATGCACACAGGTCTCAACTGTGGCAGGCAGGGAAGATGAACTTCCAGACACCTGGATGACTCCCACAGGCACCAGCAGTGGCAGCAGCAGCAGCAGCATCAGGCAAGATTAGCCCATGCTCAGGTCCTTAGATGGTCCATGTGTATGCTGGTGACAGTTGGGGGGGGTGGGTAGGTATATACCAAGGCCCCCAGATGATGTGTCCATGCACCAGTGGCAGGCAGGACCCGCAGTGTGTGTGCATGTGTCAATGGCAGGTAAGAATAGGTAAATCCCTTAACCCCTTGATAACATGCATGGGTGCTGATAGCAGCCTAAAATAGGAATTTCTAAATTTCAGATAAATATTTCTTTATTATCTTTTTTTTTTTTGAGTTGGAGTCTAATTCCATCGCCCAGGCTGGAGTGCAGTCATATGCTCACAGCCACCCCAGCATCGACCTGCTGGGCTCTGGTGAGCCTTCCGCCTCAGCCTTCCAAGTAGCCAGAACTTGTAGTTACCATGCCCAGCTAATTTTTTTTTATTTATCGTAGTGATGAGGTCTCACCAAGTTTCCTGAGCTGGTCTCGAGCTTGCGGGCTCAGACAGTTGACTTGCTTCAGCTTCCCAAAGTGCTGGAATTACAGACTGAGCCACCGAACCTGGCCTCTTTATGATTTCTTAATAAATTTCTCCATAGTTGAAAATTATAATTCATTGTCATATGTTGGAATCATTATGTTTATAGGTTTATAGTTACATTTCCTTTTTTATGATGTGTATGATGGCATGCCAATTAAGGAATTTTCATGGATTCATACTTGCTCTCACCCTCCCCTCCACAGCCTTCCTCGTTTTAATTAGTTACATTATTTTGCCTCATTAAGGCTTATGACACATTATTTTCTGTAGCCATAATTCCTATAGTTGTTTAATCTTTATTTAAATGGATTATGAACTTACTGCCAGTCCTTTTGTCATGATATTTTTCATATATAAATTTTTATTTTTATTATATTTTGATTAGCAGATTGTATTTGGACATGGTTTTTTTCATAGAGAGTTATAGAGTAGAATTCCTTTTCTTTTTTAATTTTTGAGTTGGAGTCTCACTTCGTCGCCCAGGCTAGAGAGCAGTGACATGCTCATGGCTACCTGAATCAACCTGCTGGGCTCAGGTGTTCCTTCTGCTTCAGCCTTCCAAGTAGTCAGAACTACAGGCGCGTGCTACCATGTCCGGCTAATTTTTTGATTTATTGTAGAGATGAGTTCTCACCAAGTTGCTCGGGCTGTTCTCGAACCCGTGGGCTCAGACAATCCACTCACCTCAGCTTCCCAAAGTGTTGGGATTACAGACTTGAGACACCACATCCGGCCAGGATAGAATTCTTAAAGCTATGTTTATACATATTTATAATGAAGCTTTTTCATTTTTTCAACCTTTCTATCTTCTCTCTAATGTCTTTTTCATACTCTTCCTTCTAATGGAAATTTTAAGGAAAAATGACAGTTATTAACATGTATTATAAATATAGCAGTTTAGGTTCACATAAGCTGAAATATGTTCATATTCATAGATATTAACAGTAGAATTAGATATAAAACCCATACCTTCACAGCTATAGGTATTATTCTGATTATATGAGGGAGAACCCAGAAAAACCTGGAGTTATCTTTTGAAGGGTGGGTCCCATATAGTACACTTGGAGTTTGTTCTTACAGATCACACAGTCAACCAAAGTTTTATCTGGAAGTTTTGAGAAGGTTGTGTCACAATTTGCAGAAGAAACATCCCAAGTTGTGGTGAACAGGTGACTGGTTCTTCCACTATAACAATACATCTGCCCACACTGCACTGAGGGTTCAGTTTTTTTACGAAAATTGTCATGAATTCCACCCTCCCTATTCACCCAGTCTCACTGGAACAACTTTTTTCTTGTTCTTCTGGATGAAAAAGTCCTCAAAGGGAAACGTTTTGCCAATGTGAAAGAGGTGAAACAAAAAATGTCAGAAGCACTAAAAGGCATCAAAATTGACTAGCTCAAAAACTGTTTTGAGCAGTGGAAAAATTATCTCAATAGGTGTGTTGCATCAACCGGAGTGCACTTTGAAGATGACTGAAGTTTAAACCTGTAAGAATAAATACACGCCCAAGCCCGCGGGTTCAAGACCCGCCTGGGCACTTGACGAGACCTCATCTCTACAGTAAATCAAAAATTAGATGGGCGTGGTAGCACATGCCTGTAGTTCCAGCTATTTGGAAGGCTGAGGCAGAAGGATCGCCAGAGCCCAGCAGGTCGAGGCTGCGGTGACCGGGAGTGTGCCTCTGCACTCCAGTCTGGGTGACAGACTGAGCCTCCAACTCAAAAAAAAAAAAAGAATAAATACACAATTTTTTTTGTTTTTTGAGTTGGAGTCTCACTCGGTCGCCCAGGCTGGAGTGCAGTGACACGCTCATGGCCACCCCAGTGTCAACCTGCTGCACTCAGGTGATCCTTCCACCTCAGCCTTCCAAGTAGCTGGAACTACAGATGCACGCTACCACACCCAGTGAATTTTTTGATTTATTATAGAGATGAGGTCTCGTCAAGTTGCCCAGGTTGTTCTTGAACCCATGGACTCAGGCAATCCCCTCATCTCAGCCTCCCAAAGTGCTGGGATTACAGGTTTGAGCCACTGCAGCTGGCCGAATACACAGTTTTTTATAGATAGATTTCAAGTTTTTTGGGCATCTGCCCTCATATTTGAATGCTGTATCTTTTTTTTTTTTTTTTTTTTTTTTTTTGAGTGGGAGTCTCACTCTGTCGCCCAGACTGGAGTGCAGTGGCCGCTCCCGGCCACCGCAGCCTCGACCTGCTGGGCTCCGGCAATCCTTCCGCCTCAGCCTTCCGTAATGCTGTATCTTTTAATCAGAAACAAGAACAAGTCTTCATTTGATGTAGTGTTTTAGTCTGTTTTCTGTTGCTTATAACAGAATACCTGAAACTAGGTAATTTATAAGAAACAAAATTTATTTCTTACAATTTTGGAGACTGTGAAACCCAAAGATAAGGGGGCACATCTGGTGGGAGTGTTCTTGCTGGTGGGGACTTTCTGCAGCATCCCGAGGCAGTGTGGGGCATCACATGGTGAGGGAGCTGAGCATACTGGCTCAGAGCTCTCTTTTCTTAAAAAGCCACCACTGTCACTCCTATGATAACCCATTAGTCCATGAGTGGATGAATGAGGGCAGAGCCTTCATGACCCAATAACCTCTTAAAGGCCACATTGGGAATAAATTTCAACGTGAGTTTTGGAAGGGACAGTTATTCAGACTATAGCATGTGGCAAAAGGAAAATTTAACTTTTTTTGGTCAAAAAAAGTATCTGAATTAGAATTTGTTTCAATAAAGGTGTTAGATACTTTCTACTCTTTGAAATGTTCACTTCTTTAAGATTATTATGCCATTTACTGGCTGCATATAAGAGAAGTGTATTTACAAGAGAAGTCTGTCTCGCTCTCCTTCTCTTAGACACACACTCTACTCTCTACTCCCCCTGCCCTTTGCAACAACTGGTTTCTCTTTCATTCCAACAAGGACAGAAATTTGGGGGTGTTCATTTTCATGTAAATACTATTTCTGTGAAATGCTGTACTGGTCTTAATACCAAACATTAAGTTTGGGAAATTTTAACAGTGGTTTGCTTTGCTTTGCACTGTTTTAGAGATAGTAAGATCAAGAGTTATTACCATAGACCCTAGAGTAACTAGAAAATTTGAAACATCCAAAAGCTTGATAATGAATTACCTATAATTCTCCCACCAAAACTTTCATCAGAAGATTTAATGTTATGGAGTACAGTGTTTCTTTAAAGTTAGACTCAAGGAAGTTGGTTGTTGGTTCTTTTCCAAATAGAATCTCTAACCATCCCTCCTACCTTTGTATATTTGTTTATTTATGCTGCTACCCCAGTGTCCAGTGATTGATTACATATAACAAGGATGTTATGCATGTAGCTTCCTGAAGAGAAAGCTCTTTGTTATGTAAATTTGTTTGTTATGTAACAAATGTTTGTTATGTAAACATGGGAATATAATTTGGGTTTAGCTATGTTGCTCTCTCAGGAAGTAGAATTGTCACTATCGTAAATGGTTATTTTAGCCTATGAGTTTTTTGTTATCGAAGTTTAAAAAAAACTTTTTTTTCTGAATCGGAGTCTCACTCTGTTGCCCAGGATGGAGTGCAGTGGCATATTCACAACTCACTGCAGCCTCAAATTTCTGGACCAGGAGATCCTTCTGCCTCAGTCCTCCATATAGCTGGAACTGTAGTGATATGCATCTTACCACCACACCCAGCTAATTTTTTTAAAGTTTTTTTGTAGAGACAAGGTCTTGATAAGTTGTCCAGGGTAGTCTCGAACTCCTAGGCTCAAGTAGTCCTCTAGCCTCTGCCTTCCAAAGTGCTGGAATTACAGTTGGGAACCACCATGCCCAGCCTCAAGTCAAAATTTTAAGAATCAATACTAAAGAGTAAGAGAGATAAATATTTAAAAGATGTATACCATATATTTAGGGTTAATATGAAGATTTAATTGAATAATAATGCCCATATTTAAGGTATGAACATATCTCATGGCTATTACCTCTACAAGTATGCTTTCCCCAGTCTGCCATTTATGAATCAAGAATAAACCAACTTTAAAAAATAATAACTCTTCTTACTTGCCTGGATTGAATTAGAATTTTTTTTTAAATTATTTTTAAAATGTGGGGTACAATTCAGGATTTGATATATAAATGAACATCATACAGGTAAAGTTTGGGCCTCCCTTTGGTCATCACTTTGCCTGGTTTGGGATCAGGTACCCTTTTTGATGTTACGTGCTCCCCACACCCCCACCCTGGCAGTATCTGCCAATCCCTTTCTTATAGTATTATGGTAAATGTTCAGGGTCTGCTTCTGAGTGAGAACATTTGGTACTAAGTTATTTGTTTCCATGAGAGATCACTGATAGACTCTAAATCCATCCAAGTTGCTGCAAAGTCCATATATGTGTCCTTCTTTATGGCTGCGTAATATTCCATTGTATATATGTACCACATTTTAAAAATCCAGTCCAGTTTCAATGGGCAGCATAGTTGGTTCCATGCTTTTGCTCTTGTAAATAGTGCTGCAATAAACATGCATGTGGAAATATCTTTTGGTAGTGATTTGAGATCCTCTGGATATATTTCCAGTAGGGGGACTGCTGGATCATATGGAAGTTCAATTTCTAGTTCTTTTAGATTTATTGTAGGGATGAGGTCTCGCCAAATTGCCCAGGCTGTTCTTGAGCCCATGGACTCAGGCAATTCCCTCACCTTGTCCCAAAGTACTGGGATTATAGGCTTGAGCCACCACACCTGGACTTTTGCCCACTTTTTTAATGGGGCTGTTAGTTATTTTCCTTTCAGCATGTTTGAGTTCCTTGTAGATCTTTGATGTTAGTCCTTTGTCAAATATGCAGTTCGCAAAGATTTTTTTCCCATTCTGTGGGCTGTCTCCCCACTCTCTTGATGGTTTATTTTGCTTTCCAGAAGCTTTTCAATTTAATGAAGTCCCACTTGTCTATCTGGTTTCTATCTTCTCTCTTATAGGGTTTTGTTCAGGAATTGGTTGCCTACTCCGATTTCTGTTAGAGTGTCTCCTGTGTTTTCTAAGATTCTTATAGTTTGAGGTTTTATGTTTAGGTCTCTGATCCATTTAGAGTTGATTTTTGTGTGTGGTGGTAGGTAGGGGTCCTGTTTCAATCTTTTGCATGTGATTAGTCAGTTTTCCCAGTACCATTTGCTGAATAGGTTCTCCTCTTCTCAGTGGTTGGTGGTGGAGGCTTTGTCGAAAATGAGTTGGTTGAGAAGTTGGGGTTTTACTACTGGAATTTCTATCCTGTTCCATTGGTCCATGTGCCTGTTCTTGTACCAATACCAGACTGTTTTGATTATTGGAGCCTTATAGTAAAGTTTAAGATCTGGAAGTGTGATACCTCCCACTTTATTTTGCTAAGGATTGCTTTGGTTATTCGTGGTAGCTTATGTTTCCCTATGAATTTCTATATTGTCATATCCAGGTCTGAGAATGATGTTGGTAATTTAATGGGTATTGCATTGAATCTGTAGATTGCCATAGCATAATAATAAAAAAAAGGTAAAAATTTTGTGTGCCATATTTAATTAGAAGACCATAAAATGCACAGAAATAAATTATGTGATTATAAAAAACAAGTTAAAATAGGCAACTAAATGGTAAATTAATTGAAGTAATCTGTTTTATTCTGACCCAACTCACGGCTGGGGTTACCCCAAAAGTGGTGACAGGAGAGTTCCCATGAAGGAGTGCTCCAAACCATCCCAAGATGGGGCCCGTTGGTATTTCAAAGAAAAAAGAACTAAGCACCAGGGTGACCAGTCCAAAGCATTTATTAGGGGAACTTAACTCAGAGTGCTACAACATATCCTCATGCAAGAGAAATGGATGTACTGCCTATATCTACAATGAGAGGTTTGGGGTATAGAGTTTAATAGGGTTTAAGGAATTTGGCTCAGGGCTAGATCTAGTTTTTTTTCATACTTTGAGCAACAACCCACACACCTTTATTAGTACCTGAGAGTGTTCATGGTCTGGGCTCGGGTTCAAGCCTGCAAGGAAAAATATGGAACTGGCCACATTACAAAGCAGTTAAGGAACTCTGTGTTTCTTGGTTGGACCAAGAGAAAAAGCTGGTGGATGGGGGTGGGAAGGATGGAGGGCCCTGTACTTTCTAAGATTAAAATATAAGGTTAAAAGTTCATGAGTACTAGATAAAATAAACAAAATGTTCAATAAAATAAATAATTACCAGTGTTTAACAGTTAAAATAAGTGTCTTAAAAACCTAAAGGTATACATAAAAAGTTAACAGCATAAAATCCTGGCTTTAACCTCAAGTGGAGGCAGATAAGGGCTCTTGATAGAGCTCTTCAGTGGGTGGGCACCCTGTAGGGCAGAAGTCTTAGCCTCAAACCACTCCCACATCTGCATTGCCAGACCAGTTCTATGGTATCATGTGGTAAGGTACGGATCATGCCCTCTTCTATAAATAACCGCTCTTGCCCTGCTCTGTCAAAACTTACTTTTCTTTATGTCCTTTGGATGTTTGCAGTAATAGGCTCCTCCCAAGATACAGAATCAGGGCATTTGTAAATCATTATCCAACAAGAAAAGAAATGTTTGAAATGTTAAAATGTATTAGCTTGATATTTATAATAAAGATTTTTCTCAAGGCTTAAGGAGATCACAGAATTTTGAGCTAGACAACTAATTTACTGACTGCATGATCTTTGGCAAATAACTAAACTACAATTTCTTATCTCAAGTGAAGATAATGCCTGCTATATAAGATATTATAAAATTGAAATGAAAAAATATATGTAAAGCATTCAATACAGTGACTAATGTAGTAAGAATAAATAAATGATAGATCTCTGTTTATCTCATGACAAGGTTGATAATGTTAATTGAGATAATTTTAGCTTTCTCTTCCTGGTCTGTGAAGACTTAGGAAATATAAAATAATGCTTAATATAGGAAAAAAACTTTGGGTAACCTTTACTTATTTACCTTGCATAGCTGAAGAAATATTGGGCAGGAGAGTGGGAACAGCAGATAGCTGTAGAAATTGTTTATTTTTTTTCTGTGGCACATAGGGTTATTTTAGACTTTGTCAGTAATATATTTATACCAGAGTAGATAAGAACCTAGCAGGAAGCTCTTCCTTGGCTTCTTTGAACCTACCCTCTCCTGAGGCAGTTCTAAGTCCTGATTGCAGTTCTAAGGCCTACACTTACTTAACTTCAGCTTCCTTATGTTTCCCAAGGCTTCATGGTAAACATATCTGTTCTAGCTATGGTCTCTGCTTTTTATTGTCTTTTCTCTTCCCAAATGTTTCCTTTTAGCTTTTCTAATTTTTTCCAACAGTGCATTTCAACCTGTAAAACACTATGCTGATGTTATTTATTCTTGAAAATAACAGAGCACTTTTATTTTTCTTTGATTTCCTCTGACATCATAGGCACTCTGGTTTCCATTATTGGAGGCAATGATGGCCCCTCAGAAGCTGTCCGGTTCGGCTGTACCTCCTCTACACTCTGAAGGTAAGTCCATCAGAACTGAAGTAATTGTGTTAACCTATATCATTAATCCTATTTTTATCTGTAACAATATCAGTATGATATTTTTCACAATAGCTTATTCTTATTTTCCCTAATAATCTGTATTATAGTGCTGATCTCATCTTTTAGCTTAAAATCTTTCTGTTACAACACTTATATAATTTATCTTGAATAGTAGTCTTTGTGACTTAGCAACAGTTAATTTTAAAATATCAAACTGGGCCGGGCTCAGTGGCTCAGCCTGTGATCCCATGCCTTTGGGAGGCTGAGGTAAGTGGATTGCCTGAGCCCGCGGGTTCGAGACCTGCCTGGGCAACTTGACAAGACCTCATCTCTACAATAAATCAAAATGAGCCGGACGTGGTAGTGCGTGCCTGTAATTCCAGCTACTTGGAAGGCTGAGACGGAAGGATCACCGGAGCTCAGCAGGTCGAGGCTGTGGTGGCCGGGAGCGGCCACTGCACTCCAGTCTGGGTGACAGAGTGAGACTCCAACTCAAAAAAATAAATAAAAATAAATAAATAAAATATCAAACTGACCTTGGTTAGCTAAGTTTCTGAGAAGCTATATAAATCTACTGTTTCCTCCTGACTTACAGGAAAAACTGAAAATTCTTATTTTAAACTAACTCGAATGTATTCCCCCCCAAAATAAATAAACTAACCCTACTATTAATATTTTGTTCTAACAGCTCTGAAATCTTTGACTATGCAAGTTCTAAACAGCATGGCAGCATTTATTGCCCTTCCATCAATCTTGCAAAGAATCTTACAGGTGAGTTAAAAGGAGGGGGATTAAATATTGATCAATTTTTAATATTTTAATTATGTATAAATAACAGTAAATTGCATTAATGTTTAATTGGCTCTCAAACATCATGCAGTGAATTTTTGGCATTAGCTATATCTAACTTGGGATACTATTCTTGAATCTTTTGTCAGTTTATTAGTATGACTTTGCCTGACATAAGCTTGTGAACAAGATGTGCAGCCTTCAGAGGTTCACTGTTACCTTGGAACTCAGATATACAACTTTCCTACTGGTATGCCAACTGGGAGAGAATAATCATGCATTTCCAGCTGATTTTAATTTTTAGATAAAAAAAGATAACCTAGAAACAAAGTTAATATAGAGAATTCTTTTTTTTTTTGAGTTGGAGTCTCACTTTGTCACCCAGGCTGAAGGGCAGTGGCACGCTCCCAGCCACCGCAGCCTCGACCTGCTGGGCTCCAGCAATCCTTCTGAGTAGCTGGAACTACAGGTGTGCGCTACCACAACCGACTAATTTTTTGATTTATTGTAGAGATGAGGGTCTCGCCAAGTTGCCCAGGCAGGTCTAGAACCCGCGGGCTCAGGCAATCTACTCACCTCAGCCTCCCAAAGGCGTGGGATTACAGGCTGAGCCACCGAGCCCGGCTTATCGACAATTCTTAATCATTGGTTGTTACTTAGTTTTTCTAACTCATCCAGAAACAATTTTCATGTTAAAGATTCATCCTGGCTCTAAATTCTAGTTGATAACACTCATACCCCACACCCACACCCACACACATGCCCACACCCACACACATGCGCGCGCACACACACACGCACACACACATATCAAACAGTAATATTATGCCACTGGTCATCATAGTTTTCAGATGATTTTATCCAATCAAGAATGACTGTATCAGCTCTCTCTTAAGATTCTGTGAGTCTATTTCCCATCTGGGATTAAGCTTCTGGACCTTTACTGATAAAGACTACTTGCATTCACTTATCTCTGTCATTACATTGTACATTATCATTTGGAATGTATTTTTACATATATTATCTCATTTCATCTTAGCAACTATTATGTGTTGAATAATTCTTTAATATAGATTACTTCTCATATCCATTTTAACACACATTAATCATGGAGTTTTCATCATATATAAAGTAATATCTCTATAAGTCAGGAATAAATACTAAAGCCAAACGTGGGTTCTTCCTGAGTTATATGTTTTGCTTTATGTTGAGCTTTAACCACACATTATGATACATAAATTATAACAAAAACCTACCTTTCCCTTGGCAAAAGCATATGATTTTTAAAAATTTTATTTCACGACTTTGGAATCTAAAAGTCTTTTGATATTTGAAAAGCTTTAAGTTATACGGGCATTCATTGTAGTTGTTTATTATTTTCTACTTTCAGTGGTCTACTCCCACTAATCAGGAGGGCATGTTGTTTCTTAAATTCCTTATTTGCATTTTTATGATTATTGTAATAATGCTACTTGAATTTGTACAGTTTTTTAATTTTTTCCAAGGTGTTTCAGGACACTATCTCATTTGAAGCTCACAACAATCTCTTGAGGTAGCTAGGACTACTATAAACATTTCTACTCTGCCGGGGGTGGAGGGTGGGACACACCTCATCAACAAAGGTACCTGCATAAGGAACGTTTGTATACTTATCCTGAATTGTACCCCACATCTTTAAAATAAAAAAAAAATTTTTTAAAAAGAAAAAAAACCACATTTCTACTGATAAAGGAGGAAACTGAAGTATAGAGAAGTTGTGTGTCCGGCCTGTCATTAATGGCAGAACTTATGCTACCACCAAAGTCGTTCGCTTCCCATTTCATGTTCTTTTCTATTACGTCATGTTATCTTTTATTTGTTTTAGACCCTGATCTTTTGAGGATATAATTATTAATACATTTATTAATCATATGTTACTCTGTTTGGTCATTACATATATAGTCTATGGGCACGGTTCTTGTTCCCCAAGAGCTCTTATAAGAGAGTTAAAAGATGTTCTGATACAACTATTCATAGGGAACTATGCAAGTAACAGTGGCTACCTTTAGGATTATCTGCTCTGAACCCTATGTAGGATAATTGCCACGTCTGCATGCCTACACTCAGTTTATATGATAATATCAGGAACAGCCATGGGAAAGCATGACCCTGCCTTCTGGCCCCAACTCATTAACCCATGATGGGCAACTGGCCTAAACAGGGTAATCAGTGTCCTTTCCAGGGAGTTTTAGAACTGAACTTGAGAAGGGTATATAAGTCTTTACCGGTCTCTGCATTATATCAGGTACAAATTTCAGGAACTGACAGTGGCTGCTTTTCTATTATATGAACTGGAAGTGAAAAAGGATAATCTAGAAAGGAGAAGCATGAAACACAAAAAGAGGAGAATGGACAAGATGCATAAAGAAGATCAAAGACACTTAGACCGGGAGAGGAGGCAACATGGAGAGAAAATGCTGATGGCATTTGAATTCCTTATTGTAGGTCTAAGGCTTATCTGCATTCCTTTGCTTGGGTCCTTGAAACACCCAGTACCCTTATAATAATTATCTATTTTGAGTAAGTTAGATTGAGTTGGATTTCTGAATATATATAGCCAAAGGAGTACCAGTAAAAGTATTTATCTAAAACAGACTAGGTAATTTTGAAAGATTTCCTGAAGGAGGAGATGTCTGAACTGAATCTTAAAGAGACTAAAGGAATCAGGGAAAGAAAGGAGATAGAATTATTCTAAGCAAACAGAACTATATATACAGAGACTTTGAAGTAGAAATGTGGTACATTTGAGGAGCTGCAAATGTTTTAAGAGTACTGAGAACATAGGATAAGAAGGGAAGTCACGGAGCTGAAATTTGAGAGACAGGCAGGTAAGATGTCTTTAATTGCTTTATAATCCACGGTAAGAACTTTAGATTTTATTCTACAATCGATACATTGTCATCAGTATTTTAAACAGAGGAATGATAGAATAAGGTTGTTCTTTAGAAAGATCACTCATCCTACATTATACAGGGTAAATTGGAAGGGATCAAGACTAAAGGCATAGAGGTACCTAAATGAAATAGGTACTTCAAGTTTGTTAATTGAGTTACATAGAATGTAGAAGAGAAGATGGGTTTGGAAATTACTTAGGTGATAGAATCCACCAGACATTTACTGCTTAGATGTAGGAGGACACAAAATAACCTAGTTAATCTCCTGATTTCAGGTTCATAGGGCTAAAGTGCAGTGAGGGAATAGCAAGATAGGAGTTTAGAGAAGCAATGGACATGCAGACTTGAAAGTTATCACCATAGAAGTGGTAGTTAAACTCTTAAAACTAGATGAACTTTATGAAGAAATGAATGTGCAAGAAAGCAGAAAGACGGAGTTCCAGAAAAGGTCTCAGAGTCAGGTCTGTTTATCTATTTTTATTTCCCATTAAAATATAAGGACACTGAGAGGTAAGAGTACATTTTGGCTGGGTACAGTGGCTCACGCCTGTAATCTCATCACTCAGGGAGGTGGAGGCGAGAAGATTGCCTAAGCCCAGGGGTTTGAGACCAACCTGGGCAACTTGGCAAGACCTCATCTCTATAATAAACAAAAAATGAGCCAGGCTTGGTGGTGCATGCCTGTAGTTCCAGCTTGAAACTTGAAACCACAAGTTGGAAGTTCTGAGGTGGAAGACTGAGGTGGAAGGATCACCTGAGTCCAGCAGGTCAAGGCTGCAGTGACTGTGAGGATGCCACTGCACTCCAGCCTGGGTGGCAGAGTGAGACTCCAACCCCCCCCACCCCCGCCAAAAAGAGTACATTTTGCTTAGTGCTCTTCCACCGTCACTTAGCTCAGAGGCACTTGACATATAATAGGTTCTCAGTAAATATTTCTAGAGTGAATAAAAGTCAAAAGTAATGGAGAAATCCCACTTCAGGTCAGATGTAATAATAGACTGAATTTACTTTCTTGCTTGAAACAACCCCAAATTGGACAAAATATGTGAAATAGTGGTTTTCAAATAGTGGCTATCATGTAATAAGGGACAGTGATTCATGAGAGATGGCAAATAAAGTGTGCCCTGTGTTTGCCCAAACTTAATGCCTTGAGAGAGTTTCTAGGCAATAGTGCAGGAGAGGGGATTCCAAGAAATTTCTGACACATTCACTGATTTAAGGAGATGGAACTGAGAGTCAAAAGACACCAAGGTGGTAAGAGTTTGCATGGGAATTACCAGGATGGAACTATAAAAAGAACTCTAGAGATGTGAAGAAGGGCCTCCTTAAGTATCAGCACATGCACATGAAGAAACTATCCAGTCCAGGAAAGAACCACTTAAAAGGATTTGAGGGAATACAGTTACTTATACTCACTCAAGGCCAAGAATAGTGCCTTTCCCACTAGTGAGCTAGAAAATCTCAATTTACAGGACATTGAGTAGAGTATACAGAAATACTCACTAGTGGGAAACAGTACTATATGGTTCCAGTCATGTCTTAAAAAGTCTTAAAAACAAGATCTGAAAGAATTAAACTGTTTCCAAGTAATTTAACTGCATCCTAGATCAAAGCTTAAACATACTCTTTGTAATACAGAATTACCAAGGATCCAACAGTGTAAAATGTAAAGTGTATGATAGTCAATCACAACTTATTAGGTATTCAAAGAAGTTGGAAAATGAAACCAAGGTATGATACAGATATTCTAATTAGAAGAGAAGGACATCATAGCAAAAGAAACAATAAGTGAACTTGAAGACATGACAATACAGATTATCCAAAATAAAATGTGCAGAGAAGAATGAATAAGAAAAAAAAATTAACAGAGTATCAGTGAGCTCTAACATAGTTTCCACCAGTCCTGAAGGGAGTCAGAGCAGAAAAAGAATATTTGAAAAAATAATGGTTGAAATTTTTACATCTTTTTTTGAGAATTATTAGCACACAGATCAATGAAATGCAACCTCAAGAAACATGAAGAAAACTCAACAAAGCTCATCATAGTTG